AAAAAAAAAAAAAAAAAAAAAAAGGAAATTTTAAAGCCCTTTTTTAATTTTTTTTTTTTTTTTTTTTTTTTTTTTTTTACAATTGTGCTAACTGTATCTTATCCAGAAAAAAATATTTGTTTAAGTAGAGATGTACCATTTAAATAGGGAGGGCTTGACTTCAGCTAGTTTTTGCTTCATGGGCCAAACATTGAAAAACAAATAATCATCATGTTTGTTTGTTGTTTTTTTTGGAATGTAATGGAAATTTTAACTTTTGACTTTTTTTTTTTACTAACATGCACTTAATAGTTGATCACTGGGTAAAATAAATCAGAGTGTCTGCTAGGCATGAACTAAGTGGTGTAACTAGGAGTCTTGCTCCAGCTGGTGGTATGTGGAGGTCATCTTGAGCAGTGGGAGTGGGAAGAGGAAGCGTGGTTTCAAAACAGAGTCTAAATTTTGTTTCTGCCAGCGAGCAGCCTAAACTTTGAGGAACATTACATATGTGACATTGTTCTTCCTGCTATGACAAGATTTAATAAAACTCTCAAAGAGAAAGGATTCGGTTCTCATTATTTAACAGAAAATTCCATAGCAGGAGTTCAAGGTGCATGATTTGATTCAAAAATAGGAATAATGTCAAACTTCTTTTTCTGCTTGATTCAAAGCTATAAAACATGAAAAAGAACATCAGAAATTGCAAGTATAATCGTTTTCGCTCTTTCTGTGTTATGGTCCTCTGGAAAAAATGTAAATAGGTCAAAATAAAATTAAATGGGTCAGACCAGAAAGAAAACTGTGCAACAGTTTAGACAGGTAGAGGCTGATCAGTGCATCTTTTATACTTTAGTACACATCTGGAACAAAAGTCTTAACTTTAAATAAACTAGGTATGGGAAAAATTTACCTGAAAATACTCGGTAGGTAGTTATGTTATTCTACTAAAAACTTGACAACAACACTTCAAATTTAAAGAATAAGAATGATTTCCTGATATTTTAATTTCTACCGTAGCATAAGGCAGTATGTTTAAAAAAAAAATGTCGAACACACAATGCTTCACGTAGTTTGACAAATACATTTCACACAAAGCAAGGCTGTTGGGTAAAACAACAACAAAACAACCAAGGTAATTGGGAGTTACCTTTTATTGAGATAACTCCCAATAAAAGCATATGATGTCGGAGTTAAACCCTTCACACAGATGGAGTCCGCGCGGCTGGTCACGTGACCCTCGGTCTGTTTACATGGTTACACGGTTGGAGCTCGCGGGCCGAGACTAGTGTCGCAACACAATGTTGGCCGTAATTATTACCATGGAATCACGACAACATTGGCAAAAAAAATCTGGCAGGCTTTTCGATATGTGAATGTTTTTATATATATATATTGTTATAAATGTTACTTTAGTCGTATTTATGTTGGTTTTTATGCAGGGTAAATAATCACAACATGCACAAATTCCCATTAAATTATTCCATAAGAGCTTACTCATAATTATGAGATCGATATTTTACTTGTGGGGACTGTAAGCTAAAAGTAACGTCACCATGTTTTGACCCTGCCACCGTTATAACATATCTTTATACAACATAATTGTGTCTCTGTTTACTAGCCTAGCATTAGCCGGCTAGGATAGCTCCAGCTAACAGCAACTTAACGTTGTGCTGCTGCTGTGTCATAACAGAGGAGAAAGCATATAGTTGTTTAAAGGATACAAAAGATAAGAACGACACGTTACCTTGTTGTCAGCATATGTTTATGAAGAATACACCAGGAACAACAGGCGTCTGTAATCCCACCCTGTTGTCTCTCTGTAGCCTTTTTTCTTTATGCTGCAGACGGCGCGGTGCATGCTGGGATGGAGGAGGGCAGCGGTAACGTGTTTATTATCATTTCATAACGTCTAAAAACTATGGAAAACCCCCTGAACAACCGCTGCAAAAGAAATTTGACCTTTAATAGACAAATGTCACCTGAGATTCAGAAATAATTTGTGTTAGCATTAGCAATTAGCCTACAGAACTTATTATGCTTTGAACTCTAGTGAACAGATTTGTTATTTTTCTTCTAGAGATGAATTACAAAAATATTTGTCAGTCCAATTTAACATAGACTTTCTGCAACAGTTTATGCCTACTAAGCCTTAAATTTACTATTTGTGGAGGTGTAAATGTACAAATATTCATATCAAACTATTTTTAGCTATTGTAAAATAGAACCTTGAATCTAATTATATTTCAATAATAGTAATAGTGATAAAAGTAATCATTTAATTTAGCAAGCCAAACAAATCTGGAGTTTTCAACTCTACTATACAAAAAAATGTGAATTTAAAAATTTCCTTGTAATGTAATGTTTGCTATTGCCCCTGACAGACATTTATTAAAGCTGAACCTGTTGCTCATTTGATGTCTCTTGTGGGGAAAACACGAGTGTTCTTGCAGCATTTATTTAACATCTGATAAATATTTTTTTTGCTTATTTGAGCGATGTATTTCCTGTCTTGCTGAATGTGACATTTTATCAATATTTTTTCTGCTGGTCTTCACAGCGTAAGAGTACGTTTTTATCCTCCGTTGCAATATCACTCAGGAGGAGCGATATAAACATGAGTTAAAATCGCGTTCATGTTGCGAAATGTACTTCTCTTGCTGTGTTGTGGTATGTTTGCGGTCCTCCTGAAGCTCTTTGAACGCAGCACAAGAAGGGCAGCATAGTGAGAGAGCAGCTGCGTTATTGTGCGAGGAGGCGGGATAAAGTGGGAACTGACAAGAAATGTCACTTCTTATTATGATCTCTACATAAATACAACCAATAGTTGTTGTTTTTTTTATGTTTTTTTTTTTCTTTTTAGTTGTTTCAGCTCAGGAAAACATATTACTGGAGCAAACACATTTTACCAATAGCCTGTTTGTTCCACTTATTGAACCTACTATTGATCACAGAGTGCAAACCGTTACTACCTCTTTATATAATTATATTTACAGGGGGCGTGGCCAACAGACCGGGGCTTGGCCAATGGGCTTGCAGTGTGGGGAGCGGGGCGTTCCATTCGGTTAGGAGCAGAAGTTGAACAGCGCGAGCTGTTAAAACAGCCTCAGAAAGGCAGACACAGAGAGGGCAGATGCATCGGCCCTCTGCTGGAGGGGGGGCTTATTATAACAAATATATATGCACACATGAGTGAACTGTTTGGCTGCACGATAGCTCATATGTGGGTAACAGTTATTTTAGAAAAGCATACCACCGCGGCTTTACATTTAAAATGCCTATTTTAGTTTTTCTGTTAGACACGTCCGCCTCTATGAATCAGCGCACTTATTTGGGTACGACGTATCTGGACGTTGCTAAAGGCGCGGTTGAGATCTTTATGAAGGTAAAGATGGATTCTACCCGGATTTTTTCAGCAAGCTTGCACCTTTGGTGAGCTCAGGGTTCCTTGGCGAAAGTCGGTAAACATTAATATATGCTGTTTTGGTTTTCTTTTTGACAGCTGCGTGCCCGAGACCCGGCTAGTAGAGGCGACAGGTACATGCTAGTTACATTCGATGAGCCACCATACGGAGTGAAGGTAATTAGCAAATGATACCATGTTTACACTTCCAAGTCGAACGTGTTTGTCTGTCAGTGAGACTTTATTTTCCTTCAAGTTCGCCGGTGGCGAAAAAACGGCAAATTACTGCTCCAAACAGCCGCAGACCCGGAGCCGCACTGCATCCGAACATCCAGCGGACATTTTGCTTTTGTGTCGAGAAAACTCTCGGGCGTTGAGATGGAGGCGGGGAAATTTATTATCCCTCGTGACGTCACTCGTTTTTCACAGAACCTCACGCAGACTGGTCGAGGTCCCTGCCAATCATGTTTCACCCCTCCCCCTTCATCAAGGTTGCACTCCCATTGGCCATTCCTGGATGAAAGTTGATAAGCCCCGTTCATCATGAGATTCTCTTTATGTTTGTACGACTTCGCTGGAACAGAATTATCATCATTCACATGATAATTATTTGTCATACTGATGCTGTGAGAGGCTTCCTGCATAGAAACTCCCGGTAATTGCCATACACAGAGAAAACAGGACATGCAACCTCTCAATCTCTGCAGCAGTTTCCCCGCTTCCTGCCATAAAAACAGATGTACTCATCCCTATTCTATTGACTTGTTTATGACTTGGCACACATCTCCGAGTTTTTCCTACCCCTTAAAGCAGAATCCCAAGTATGCACACAAGCCCCCAAATTACGTAATTTCCTTCAGTGGCTGTTCCATATTGTGGAATTCATCAGGCTGGCCCAACTTGTGTCTACAGGCTACGACGCCTTGCAAAATTATTCATTTCCCTTTAACGTTTACACATTTCATCACATCACAATGCATTCTCAAGGTGATTTTATGAAAGACCAAAGCAAAGTGGTGAACAATTGTGAAGTATAATGCAAAGGTTGCATGTTTTTAAACTTTGATATGGATTAGTAATATTTTTTCCCCCCCGATTTACAAAATACAGACAATACTGAGCTAATCTGAATGTTAAGGATTCACAATATATATTTGTCTTTAACTTTGCATCATGTTTTAAAGAAGTTTGAAATCAGATTTTCTACTTTGTGCACTTGTGTCACAAATCAAATCGCTATAATTAATATACACACAGAGCGTCTCCAAAGCCTTACACTGCAATGCAAAAGTATCTGAACCACAAACCGCTTTATTTGTTGGAGAATGATACATGGTTTTCCACAGTTATTACAAATATAAATCTGAAGTTTACAAAATGCATATACATATTCAACACCCCTAAATAAAATCCAGCACAACCAAACAAGCTTAGCTGGATATCTTTTTGAATAAAAACTTTAGTTTCTATGCAAATCTTTAAAAAAAAACAATAGCTAATAAGATTTATTTTTAAAAAGCTAAAAGACTTACAGGACCTTATGGATTCATGATGACACTTGCTCATCTAGCAATATGTTGATGTACAAAACCCATTTGCAGGACTGTTTGAAAAGGCAAATCTGCTTCAGTACAACCGGAAACAATGCAAATCGAGTCCATGCCTTTTTCATCTTCTAAAATCGCATAAACGATATTGACCCCAACCTACTTCCTGTTAGGCTGCATGTATCGCCGATCTTATTGAATCATACAGCCTAACTTTATCAATGTGGTTTATAGTTTTGGTTTTTAATAGAAAATTTAACGTGTTTAATTATTTATCATTGTCCAACACTAGCTTGGATCAAATATTCATGCGTCAGAGCGGCCTAGTCAAAGTCCAGGCCTAAATGGTCCTGTCAGTAACTAAGGAAAATGACTGAAATGACACTGTCTGCATCAATCTTTTTATTTTTTTATTCCCCCCACGTAACCCACAGCAGAATAACTGTTTTTAGCTCATGTCCCCATGGTGGGAGTTTCACTGCTCGCAAGTGTGAAACGGGTGCAAAGCCGTCGCAGGTCGGTGCCGTAGCTTTCGCAACAATTTGTAAATGTGGCCACCAGACAAACACTTGTGCATCACACACCTCGATCAAACAAACTAGGATGTGATTCTCCTTCCGTCTCGTAAAGCCGTCCGCGGCGCTGCCGTCTGACGGGGCTTTCCCTCGTCTGTGCAGCGAGTCTTGAGCTGCTCTTTCTTCCCCTCCCTCTGGCTGTTTGTGGCCCGCTCTGCGAGCCGCGCTGAGCTTCACAATGAAAAGATGAGGTGGTACTGATTGGGGCCGGTGTGTGATTGCACATTCACAGATGCAATAAATTGTTGATGTCGAGGAAGGGAGAGAGGGAGAGAGAGAGAGAGACAGAGGGAGGGAGAGAGAGAGAGAGCGCGAGCCAAAGAGACAGGATTGTGCAGAAATATTCTGTAGTCTGAATTATTAAGCACAGCGTTTCTTCTGATCTATACAGGATAGTCTGGGTCTGATGGGACTGAAACGATTAATCGTGATGAACTCTTTATTCAAATAATCGTCAGCTAACTTATTAATCATTAATCGTTAAATGGATTCAAAAAAGGCAAATTGCTAACAAAACCCCCCAACATATTCAGAGTACTATTTAAGCCCAAACTGTACAAAGTATATACACATTTTGCACTTACGATGAAAACACCTTCATCTGTAAGGATATTTTACCCAAGACGCCTCAAGTGCCATAGTTTTAGCTTCACTTGGTTCGGATTCACTAAAGAAGTGATTATTTTCTCATAAAAAATGTATTCTTTGTATATTTTAACGTATTTCTAACATTGTGGTTAAATGAAAAATCTCTACAATGTGCCAATTTTTTATTTTTTTTAATCCAATTATTTGTCATAATAGTCAGTAGAATAGTGGATTAGTAAAATAATTGTCACTTGCAGCCAGTGTTGTGGTACTCGAAGTTGGTCTTGGTCTCGAGACTGGTCTGAAGACCATTTTTTGATGGTCTCGGTCTCGTCTCGGACTCGACCGCATTTGGTCTCGGTCTTGTTTCGGTCTCTGGCTCTGAGGACTCGGCAAATTATTTCAAGACCAGTCATGACATTCAGAAACAGTCGATTCTTCTCCACGGCTCTTTACTTATTAGATAGGACTGGAGTGTCACTCACTGAGAGCCGTTGTTCTATCAGATTATCATACGCTGTTAGAATAGCAAACATGCAGTGAGTACCATGCCTGCACATGCGCATTAAGAAGTCCGACCGTCAGAGGAGTTGTCAGTTCACCATATGCAGCATTGAAAACAATGATAACTATATAGATATACATGTGTTGTCATGGTTTCAAAGTGTATTTAAAGCAGGGTCTGGCTGCAGCTGGAGTCAGCTACAACACACGCCCGTGTAAAACTCACTTAACTGCTAAGTCAGGATGCCATACAACTGTTAA